TTTGTGACCACCTAGAGAGGTGGGATAGGGATGGTGGGAGTGAGACGCAAGAGGGAAGTGTTATGGGGATATAAGGTTATGTATAGCTGATTCGCTCTTTTATACAGCAGAAACTAACACAACATTGTGAAGCAATTATACTCCAGTAAAGATGTTAACAAAAAAGTCAATATAATTTTAAACAAAGTTTTATCACTTTCTGATGCTTTTCAAAAACTGTTAACTTTTCTTGAGCACATTATTTTTGTATATATACACTAGAATCCCTTTTCATACAATAGGAGTTTACAAATCTAATATCTTTTTTTCCTTCTGTATCCTCATTAAACCTATGAATAATATTTTGTGAGTAAATTAATTCTGCCATGCACTTTAATGTGTTTTGTGGACTATTGCCAACTAATATGTCTGAGACTTTCAAAACATAGTCTTGCTTTGCAGTAGCTGTTAAGAGACTCCAACAAGAACACACAAGGAAGGCTCTGATGTTTCTGAAGAATGCTTGGAACACAGTTGTAAATGTAGTAAATAGAGACAGAATAACATAAAACAAATTGGTTGTGTTTAAAACATTTCTTTGTCTCCAGTTATTTAAAAAGCTGATATTTCTTGAAATAAAAAGATCCAAGAAATCAGAGGTACACTCAACTGTAATGTAACGTCACTGGCAAATACTATTCAGTAAACCTGGATTAACCTTTCATAATTAGCACTTCTCAGCCCAAGAAATCCCTAATATTCCACCCTAATTCCATTGTAACAAAATCCCTCTAAGGTAAGTCATAAAAGCAACACTAACCCCTTCTAAAGCAGAGAAACAAAAATGTAGCACTATTTTCTACCGTGAAAGAAAGTTCTGGGCTGGCCATTTACATTATAGGATCTCAGATTTCAGTAAGGATTAAAGGTTGTATATTTTAAACAAGAGACATATAGAAATATCATGAAGATATTAGGACCCCTTCCCTACTTCTCCCATACTCCATATACCACATCTTAACCTAGCCAGCATAGAAAAATATAAGGATTTTCTTTGGACCTCAGAAAGTCTACCTTAAATTACCCAAGATTCAAAAAGCTCCACTTGTCACAGTAGTCATAAAATGCAGGCAGATTATCTGGGCCCCTTTATAAGTTTATTTCTTTGTGTACATATCTGAGGAAAAGTGGGGAAAGAAGTGCCTTGTTTGGATTGCAAAGTAAATTTAATTTTTCCAAATCATATTCACATCCATGTATATAAGTAAATGAACCATTTAGCTATTGCTATATAGCAAACCACCCAAAAGTGAATGGCTTAAACCACAGTTCTGCATGTAGGCAATTTAGGGCGAGATCATCTTGGTGGTATCAGCTGGCTCCCTTTTGGCGTCTGTAATCAGCTGCATGCCAGCTTTACTGATCTTAGCTGGGCTTTCTCATGTGTCTAGGTCCTCAGCTAGGATGAATCCACTGACTCAGCTTTGTTCTATGTGGTTTTAATCCTCCAGCATAGGGGTTGGCAAAACTACAGCTCACTGCCTGTCTTTATATATAAGGTTTCACTGGAATAGAGCCATACCCATTTGTTTATTTATTGCCTATGTTTGCTTTCACAATAAAACAGGGGAGTTGAGTAGTTGTGACAGGAACCATATGGCCTTCAAAGGCTAAAACCTTTACTATCTGGCCCTTTACATAAAATGTTTGCTTGGGGCTTCCCTGGTGGCACAGTGGTTGAGAGTCCGCCTGCCGATGCAGGGGACACGGGTTCGTGCCCCGTTCCGGAAGGATCCCACATGCCGCGGAGCCGCTGAGCCTGCGCATCCGAAGCCTGTGCTCCGCAACGGGAGAGGCCACAACAGTGAGAGGCCCACGTACCGCAAAAAAAAAAAAAAAAAAAAAAAAAGTTTGCTGACCCCTGCTCTAGCAGGGCTTATTTACATGGCAATGTCAGGGATCCAAGCAAAAGAGTGGAAACTCACAAGGTCTCTTGGGGCCTAAATTTGAAACCACCACAGCGTCACTTCTGCCATGTTCTGTTGGCCAAAGCAAGTTAGAAGTCCAGCCCAGATCCAAGAAAAGGGGAAATAGAATCCATGTCTAGATGGAGAAGTAAAAAGTCACATTTCAAAGGGCATGGGTTCAGGGAGCAGTGAAGGACTCTGGTCATATTTACAACCTGCCTCACTAGATCACATAACAATTGCCTTCAGACTAAAAGAATTGTGATGGAATAGGTGGATATATTTATAATATTTCATCAGGAAAGCCCATAAGAATCATGTGAGTCACTGTTCATCAAATACCTGACCTGTAGATTTTTGTCAAAAGGATGTATCCATAATTATTTTGGTAGAGATTATCTTTAGCACAAAGTGAGAGAGTGGCATGGACATATATACACTACCAAACGTAAAATAGATAGCTAGTGGGAAGCAGCCACATAGCACATGGAGATCAGCTCGGTGCTTTGTGACCACCTAGAGGGGTGGGATAGGGAGGGTGGGAGGGAGGGAGACGTAAGAAGGAAGAGATATGGGAACATATGTATAACTGATTCACTTTGTTATAAAGCAGAAACTAACACACCACTGTAAAGCAATTATACTCCAATAAAGATGTTACAGAAAACAAAAACAAACAAACAAAAAAAAACCTAGGCCCTGGGAGAGTCAGATAGGAGGCTGATTGTTCATTATACAACCTTAGGAGATAGTTATTGACTTTGATTCCTGATCCTGAAGGGAAATAAGATAAAGCTCAATTAAAATTACTGAACTCATTTAGGTGACTAGGTTATGAAAACAAATAGACCCAAGATGTAGGATGATTCCAATGCAATAAAAGTTTTCCTAGTAAATAGTCCACACAATGATTCAGGGACACAGACTTCTCTCACCTATGGGCCTGCCAGTCCTAAGGCAGGTCTTCATCTTACTAGCAGAAAAGAAAAAGAGAAGGTGGAGGAGGCTCACATCTTTCCTGAAAGTCTTGGCTCAAAAGTAGTACACAGCACTTCTGCTCATATTCTGTTGGTGAGAACTCATCAGTTGGCTACACCTAACTGCAAGGGATAATGGAATTTGTAAGTCTAACTCTATATCTAGAAAGAAGAAAGAAATGGATTTTGATGAACAGTTCGGAGTCTGTGCCATAGTCTACCTTCTGGTCATCAGATGTTCATTTGCATCTTTCTTTTCACATTTATAGAACACATTACCTTCACAAGGGAGACCGCCCAAAGTCTCCTCCAGTTACTGCTTCTAGCTCAAATCCAGGATCCCTGGATGATGTTTAGTCTTATCTGTAAGGTCAGGATGTAGCCCTTTAAAGTCTGAAATGCCCAACCCCTGCACACACACAGATAAAATATACAATGATAAAACTAGGCCAGGATAAATGCCATAAAACTGCCGCTCAGAAAACAGATGAATAGGAAATACACAACATTCACAGGTTAGTTGCAACGATGAGTTCATGCTGGGAAGGTATTTTAATGAAGGAAGTTCCACTATTAGACACCAGATCTCCATTCTGAGAGGAACCCTGTTTTCTGTTCTTCTTTAAGAGTTTCTTCTTGGTCCATTACCATCCATGACCACACCTGAGTCAGCCCATTGTGGAACATTACCTTTCTTGGGGGTTATGCAGTATTCACAGCGTGCTTCCAGCTCATATGAGTTTGGGGGCCCAAATATTATTTTAAGCCTTAAATAGTCAAAGGATTTTAACACAAGGATCAAAATTTATTTGGCAATACAGTTGGTCAAAATTTTAGTAGAATTCCGATCAATTTACATACAATAAGTTTCATGGGCCATACCTAAAATTACTTCTTAGACACAGTGTTCAAGACTTGTTTATTTCTTTGCTAAAACCTATGAAGACAAGAATTCTATCTTAATCCATCACTGTATACTAGAATCCAGCATTTACTAATTCCCTGTAGGAACACAAAGTAGGAACATTTGTTCAATATAAAACGTGCCTAACATAATACCTACAATATAATTAGTGTTCATCCAATGGTAGCTGTTAACATTAAGAGAGAAGCTCATTGGAATTGGAGATAGCAAACCAGGGGCTTAATTCTAGCTCTACTTCTACATAGCTGGGTAAGATCATGCAAGTTAGTTTCCTCATATTCTAAATCTTTCTCACATTATTGTTGCTTTGCACTTTTATAATTCACCTCCAATCCTTGTTTTTTTTGCACTTTTATGATTCACTACCAACAATTGATGAGGAAAGGACTAATCTTGAGATCAAAATACCATGAGAAGCCCATAGGCATAGCTTTAGGAAAGTATTCAAACTACAGGTGCTATAAGGGTAATAGGATTTGTTACAAGAATCAGTTGTCATCCAACCCAGCATGATCCATTAAACACAGGCTTCATCTAATGCCATGAGATTTGAGTGGGGCCTATTATAGGTGGTTAATTGTTTGAGAACCCTGTGATGGTTTATGTAGCTTTGGAAATGCGTCAGTGAACACATATTTTTTGAAATTTGGTTGTTTGTAATGAAATTCATAATATGTCTAATATCACAAAATAGCCAAGGAGAAGCTGGAGCTGTGCACTGTGTACAATAAAACTTCTCTTTAAAATTTGGTAAGTGACTTTAGGTCAGTGATTCCAACCCTGGCTGCACATTAAAGTCATTTGGAGGGGTTTTTATGAATACCAGTGCGTGAACCTCACTCCAGAGATTCTGATATAAATGTAATTTTAAAACCTCCCCAGTGATTCTGATGGAGAACCACTGCTTTTAAAAGGGAAATATGTCATCATGAAGGACACCTTTTTTAGTGCCTGTTACTAGAGGCAAGAAAATATCCTGCCTATACTACAGCTTTTATACAGTGTTATTACTTGGACTAGTCATGGGCTTTTTAGTCATTTTTAGATGAAAAATTGTTTGTTTTGTGAGGAGGGATGGGATGAGCAGTAGGGGGTTGGCTTAGGGAGGCTCCATGATAGTCAACAAAGTAACACTTGCCCCTTCCTCTGCAGCACATCATGCTTGTGCAGCGTCAGATGTCTGTGAGAGAAGAGGACTTGGAAGAATTCCAACTCGCTCTGAAACACTATGTGGAGAGCGCTTCCTCCCAAAGTGGTTGCTTGCGGTAAGTGCTCCTGTGCATGTGTCTTAGATGAAGGTGGGGTCTGGAGGACTGGTATTTGAGAATCTTCATCTAAAGTTATGCTGGTCATTCTAGCCCTCGGGGTGATACATTTTGCAGAGTTAAACAGGCTGTTTTCTCTTTTATCCTTGGACTCTGTGTGGATTTGAGCATTAGGAGCACCAAGGGAAGTCAAATAGACTGAAATTCCTCCTTTTGCATCCAGGCAGACTCACACTCTGATTTAAATCATCTCTGGTATATGAGGCCTCAACTCTAGTGCATCTAGCTCTGATTGCTACCTTGAGAGTGCGCCCTATGGCCTAATAACCACCATTTCAGCCATTCATTATGAAATTGCACCATCTCTGAAGTCTTGATGGCAGGACTTTGTCATTTAAAAAAAAAAAAAAGTTATTTCCATGGCCACTCCAGCTCAGGCTTCTGTTATCTCAGGCTACTAAAATATACTACCTATACCTCATCTTCAGTTTCTCTACTCCAAGTAGTCCGAGAAACAACTACTACAACTATAATTTCCCAGAAACAATTATCATAGAATTCTCTTATTCAGAAACCTGCAATAACTATCTAATGAGTAGCTTATCAAATGCCAGAAGTTTATCCTGACCCTACAATTATACTACCAACAGACCCCAGAGATCCATAGCACTGCTACCATTTGTTCTCCCTCACCTGAACACTATGCCTCAACAGTGCCCAGCTGCATATTGCCTTTCCAGCATAATCTATTGTCTTACCGCTGTGCCTTCGATCTGGCCACTCTCCTTTCCAGAAGTGTGCACCCAGCTTCAGGTCTCTGCCAGACCATGCTCTACCTTATGCCAAAGATCAAACTCACCTGCTCCTGGAAAACTGCCACAACCAAATCCACCCCTACCTTAGGAGCTTGTTTAAATTGTATTTCACAATACTCTTAGAACATTGGGAAAGCTTTTTAGCACATGTATGCATGCATGTATGTGCACATAGAAACACATACTTTATGTCTCTTTGGTGTTCCTCCCAGTAATTACTAGTTATATTTTATTCACACTCTGGCAGAATACTTCTGCAGCTAAGAAGTCTGGCTCTGGAATTAAACATGGGTTGTATTAACTTTGTGGGTTTGGGAAAGAGAAAAACAAATACCGTATGCTAACACATATATATGGAATCTAAAAAAAAAAAAAAAAGGTTCTGAAGAACGTAGGGGCAGGACAGGAATAAAGATGCAGACGTAGAGAATAGACTTGACACAGGGAAGGGGAAGGGGAAGTTGGGATGAAGTGAGAGAGTAGCATTGACATATATACACTACCAAATGTAAAATAGATAGCTAGTGGGATGCAGCCTCATAGCACAGGGAGATCAGCTCGGTGCTTGTGACCACCAGAGGGATGGGATAGGGAGGGTGGGAGGGAGATGCAAGAGGGAGGGGATATGGGGGTATTATGTATACATATAGCTGATTCACTTTGTTATATAGCAGCAACTAACACAACATTGTAAAGCAATTTTACTCCAACGAAGATGTTAAAAAAAAAATTACTGAAAAACCCAAGCAGAGCAATTGTGTGACCCATGTATAACACACACACACACACACACACACACACATTTTTTGATTACTCTTTTTGCATATTTTGTAATCATGAAGGCTTATTTAATCCCTGTGTTTGGCACGGGGAGGTACCAACTGAATATATATGATGCACACAGTGTATTCTCAAAACCATGCATGACTTCGGAAAGTTGAGAATAGTTTCTGCTTCCAAGGATCTAGGAAACCAGTTGGGAAAATAGGATACTCATTCATGAACAATTAAAGCCATGTTCTTGGCCTTAATTTCACAGCTGTTAAGTAGAATAAAATGATTTGTGAAGTCACTCTCAGCTACCAAATTCTAGAATTTGTATGTATTCTGAACTCCATGTCAAGGATGTAGGGAAGATGAATGTGGAACTGCATTGTAAGAATCAACCCTGGGAGTTGTACTATGGCCAAAGAAACATCCTTAAGAACTCATGGTACCCTGTGGCACATTGAACCATTAATTTATCAGCATTTTTATATAGACAAAATAAATGGGTGGCCGTAGTGTGGTGGAGAATTGTAGGAACTATCCCTCCTGTGTGCCCCTTACTCCAGTGATTAGGCTCTGTGAGTTAAGGTAGGCCACCTGGGGAACAGAGGAAGCCAAGATGAAGTGTGTCCTGTTCCTGATGAGCCAAGCTACCTTAGGTAAGATGTTTAACCCCAACCGTTCCTGAGCTACATCATTTTTCCCCATTTCACTGACATTTTCCAGCTCCTGGAATGTTCAAAGTGTCCTGGAGCTCAGGGCTGAAGCTCTAAGTGACCTTATCCAGAGACAGCTTAGCCAAAGAACTCTTGCTTTAGCCAGTGAGTTTTTAAGTGCCACAGGAAGTATGAATACATTGAGGAGGAAGACTGAGGGTGTTTAAGTTAGTACAGTCACAAAGCAAAAGCTCAGAGTTACATCATGTAATTTTAAGTTTGCAAATAATTGAAAGCTAATCATTCAAGCCCTAAGCCCTTTTAACAGAAATATTGCTGACTGAAGTTTCTAAAAATTTTATCATTAACCTTTTCTTGCTGTCTCAGTGTCATCACTGCATATGTATTGTTATCTGTATTGTACAGTCTCAAATATCAATGTCCTTAAATGTCATTGCTGTGTATTGGTCAGTTTTGCCCTTAATTGAAAGCACCCAGTCTGTAGAACAATTTTGATGAGCATTTTCACCCATAGTCCTTTGAGACACAATCTGAACTGGTCTTTCAACTCTTCCATCTGGCTCTTGACCAGATGGCCTACAGTCAGGAAGAAGGAGAAAGGAGCAACACCAACAAGCCATCCTCTCATGTCTGAACCTAAGGACAGAAAGTTTCCCAGAAGTCCTTGCTTCTCAGCATACTTCCCTTGGCATCTCATCGGCCCAACTCAAGTCACATGGCTATTCCTGGTTACAGGGGAGGTTAGAAAACAAATATTTAGCAGAAAGGAGATTGTGATGACTGTCTCAGCCCAGCACTGATTGGTACATTGGATATATTGCAAAATGAACAATGGCAGGGTTCGGTTAGACAGAGGGGAATAACAGTTGGGGAGGCAACAGACAGTATCTACCATATGATTCCCAGAGTGACTGTGAAGGTAAAATGACTTAATCCATGGGAAATGCTTAAACCAGGGCCTGGAACAGAGCAATACATGTTAGCAACCATCGCCATTGTTATTAGTATGTATAATAATGTAATAATTGTTATCATCATTATTATTGGCTTGCTGCTCCTCATTGTTTTCAAAGATTTGTCTTTTTCCCTCAGTTTCTTTTCTGTTCCTTTTAATTCTGTCATGTTTCTCAACTTTGATACCATTAAGGCTTAGCTTTCACTCACCTAAGTAAAGTGCTACTTTGTTTTTCACTATTGAGCTAACAGCTAACACACACACACACACATATACACACATACAATATACCAATTACTGGGCAAAACATTCTACATATAATGCTTTATTTAGTACTCAGTACTATTATTACCACCATTTAACAGGTGAGGCAACAGGTTAAGTAATGGGCCCAAGGTGACAAAGCTCTAATACATGGTGGATGAAGGTAAGCCTGTATGGCTATACTTCAAACCACTACCTTATCACACTGTGTTATCTTCTTCAGTCCTTCAAAACTTGAGCATCAGGCTAAAATTTCGTGAATTTCTTGTGGCTAGTCTGGAAAATGGCAGGTTCAGATAGCAGGATAAGTGATTTTTATATGTAATAAGTAATACAAATGAATTAGTTTGTAGGAGGCAGTGCATAGTCATGGATTGAAATTTGACCATTACATTGTCAGATTACATTTGGGGATTACAGATCCTTTTAGACTATGATGAGAACTATGGATTCTCTTCCCAGGAAAAAGTAGATATGCACAGTAATTTTCAGCTCATTTCTGGGATTTCAAGGAACCCCCCCAAAAGCCCATCTATAAACTCCTGGGGTTAGAAAATCTCCAGTTTCACTTTCTGTTCAATTCCTTTGATTATGTTATAAACCTTTCCCGAGAAAATCTGAAATTGAACTAAGAACAATACTTGCTACATCATATCTTAACTGAAGCAAGCTTGATCAATAGCTCTGTGAAAAACACCAAACTACAAGCCAAATAAGTATTACAATTTCTGTGTAGTTACCACCATCTGCTGGCCACACTTAGGTAAATCCTAAATTTACACTGAGCTTGGCTATTTTACCGTATGTTTGCTCTTAAATCAATATTCTATTCTCCCAATTTTTCCCAATCTCTCAATTTATTGGGATTGAGATATACACACTACTATATATAAAATAGATAATAAGGATCTACTGTGTAGCACAGGGAAGTCTACTCAATACTCTGAAATGACCTATATGGGAAAAGAATCATAAGAGTGGATATATGTCTATGTATAACTGATTCACTTTGCTGTAAACCCAAAACTAACACAACATTGTAAATCAACTATACGCCAATAAAAATTATTTTAAAAAATTTAAAAAAGAGTAGTTTATACAAACTACTATGTATAAAATAGATAAGCAACAAGGATGTATTGTATACCACAGGGAATTATAACCATTAACTTGTAATAACATTTAATGGAGTATAATCTGCAAAACTACTGAATCATTATGCTGTATACCTGAAATATAATGTAAATCAACTATACTTCCATTTAAAAAAGCACCACACCGGGCTTCCCTGGTGGTGCAGTGGTTGAGAGTCCGCCTGCCAATGCAGGGGACACGGGTTCGTGCCCCGGTCCGGGAAGATCCCACATGCCGCAGAGTGGCTGGGCCCGTGAGCCATGGCCGCTGAG